GGGATCGAACTCGGCTCCTTGCACTTGCATGGCAGGCGCCTGAACCACTGAGCTAAATCCCCAGACCCTAAGTTTGATTTTTTTTAATGTGCTTTAAAAGTAACTAATTTTTGGGTTTTTGTTTGCTGCTTTTTTTCTTATTATGAGATACATACAGGGCCACGGATTTAGCTCAGTGGTGCTCGCAAGATCAAGGTCCTGAGTTTGATCCCCAGTACCAAAATAAATAAATAAATAAGATACATACACACATTTTTAAAAATGTAGGAATAAAATTTGTACCCTTATTTTGGGTAAAATAAATAAAATAATCGAGCATGCATTCCTGTAATCCCAGCACTTTGGGAGACTAAGGCAGGACTATCCCAAGTCTGAGACCAAACTGGGCAACTTAGTGAAACCTTGTCTCAAAATAAAAGAAAATTTTTTAAAAAAGGGTCAGGGATGTAGCACAGTATAAAGACCCTGAGTTCAATCCCCAGTAAAGTTAAATGAAAGAAAAAGTTACCACAGAAATATCTAAACAAATGAAAGACCAAAAGGAATAATTATCCCTCCCTATTCCTCACACTTTCCTCTTGCAGCAGTGCCCCCTCCTAATCGCAGAGCATCATCTCATTACTTGTAATTGTGTTCACTAACACTTCCATGACAATTTCTTTTTCTTTTTTTTTTTTGGTACTGGGGATTGAATTTTGGTCCTTGCACTTGCAAGACAGGTGGTAGAACCACTGAGCTAAATCCCCGGCCCTTTTTCTTTTTTTTTCAAGACAGGGTCTTGCTTTGTACTTCAGGCTGGTCTTGAACTCACTGTGTAGCCCAGGCCGACCTTGAACTCATGGCAATCCTCCTGTCTCAGCTTCCAGAGAACTGAGATTACAGGCTTGTGCCAACACACCTGATTCATGATAATCTCTTAATCCCATATCAAACCTAAATTTCTAAACCTTAGAAATTTGTATCTGTGGAAGGGCTACACACTCCTCAGTCAATATATTCACAAACTATATTCTCTGCCTTTTCGGCCCCCACCGAGTCCTGTTTCCTCCTCCATTAAGACCTTTATCATTTGCATGGCCTCCAGAAGCTGGCAAATTTGGTCATATTTGACTCCTCCCCTCAAATGAGGAGGGATCCAATCCTGCCTATTTTGAAATTTACCTCTTCCTCTATCTCATTGCCATTTGCAGAGCTAAACTAAGATCTAAGCCCTGTCATTTCTGAACCGGACTATTCAGCCAAACAAACATTTCTTGAGTAGCCAGTATGTATCTTTCTTATACAGTGAAAGACACTGGGAATATGAAGATTAATAAAGCAAAGTGCTGCCTTGCAACATACTTTGGAATAGGCAGGTGGTAGAACACAGTAGAATGTGTTAAATACCACAACTAGAACAAAACACATAGGACATCAACTTTCCTGTATGATCTGATACCAACCTGAGCCATCTAGAATACAAACTAGATCATATTACTCTGTTGTAAAACCCTTGATGACTGCCTACTGACAAGTCCATACAAGCACAGTACAATCTGGTACCAACTTACTTAACAGCTCATTTGCTACTGTTCTTTCACATCATATGACCCAGACACATATAACTAGCTGCTGCTCTGATACTATGCTGAGCACTTACTTCCACTACACCTACGGCCTGGGCACCCTTCAGTTAAAGCTTTGAGTTACAACTTCTTTCTCTCTCTCTACCACTGGATGTTTTAAGCTTAGGGGCAAAAACTACATTTTGTTATTCTTCATATCCTTCCCAAAGTCCAGGATTACTAAACATTCAAGAAATGGTTGTTAAATGGCTAAAGGAGCAGCAACAGATTTACAGAGAAGAAAAATATACTATTAATTACATTATCATTATTATTATCATTACCTACCCCCCCACACACACCTGGAGTCTAAAGAAGCTTATGCTTGAATTTTTTACCTACTTACCTATCCCTTTATCCCATTAAATAACCCTACACAATACAGACAGAATCTTTACCCTTTAAGAGACTTTTATTCAAATAAACAGTGGCAATAACATGTAAACAAATATACACTATCACTTCAGACAGTGATCAATATGTTGAGTTTGAAAAAGCAGTTTGATTGGACATATCTGATACAGAAGAAAGGTGCTGCTTTAAATAGGGATACAGAAGAAGTCATAGAAAGTTTCTCTGAGAAGGTAACAAGCTGAAGCCTGAAGGATAATAAACAATGGGCTATAAACAATTTTAGACAAAGATTTATGCAGGCAGAAGGAACTGAAGCAGAAATACATTTGGGCTGGGTGTGGTGGCACATGCCTCTAATCTCAGGACTCCAGAGGCTGAGGCAGGAAGGTTGCTCTGTGAGGACAGCCTGAGCTACATACAGAGGTCAAGGGCAGACTGGAATACATAGTGAATTCAAGGCCAGATTGGATTACATAATGAAACCTTGTCCCAAAACAAAACAGACAAACAAAAAGAAATGTTTTTGGGGCTGGGGATTTAGCTCAGTGGTTCCGCTAGGTCTCCAGCGCAAGGACGGGAGTTCGATCAAGGAGGGAGTTCGATTAAGGACGGGAGAGTTCGATCGCCGGTGCCAAAGAAAAAAAAGAAAGAAATGTATTTGACTGTCTGAAAGACAGTGTGGCTAGAAAAGGAGAAGTAGGGGCTTTGTAGGTGGTAGCCTGTGTGGAAGCTTCACTGCACCTGCTTCAGTTTGGCATTCCCTAGCTTGCTTCTGTTGTCTGCAGTCTTCTTACTCATAATAGGACGAGACATGATGGAATGGGTATACACCCCACTCTCTTGTTGGGCAGGTGCCAAATGATTCTGAACTATCTCTTTTGGTTTCTCCTGATAGAAAGTACTGCTAGATATAATACTGCAACAATACTGGCCTGGGGCTAATGAAAAATACACAAGAATAAAATTACCTAAAAAAAAAAAAAGATAAGTTCTTTCTACTATCTTGACAAGTCAAGCCAAAATGAGAAACACAAAAATGATCCTGGATTCATTAGAAGAAATAAAATAACATGGTCCTACTCTGAATGTGCACAAGGGCTATAAATTTATCCTTTAAATGAAGGGATTATTTTTCTTCATTTCCATGTAAAGTTGTCATACAAATCTAGACCTCAGGGATTAAGTAAATTTGCAGTTTCACTGGCCAAAGTTTTTCTTCATCTTCATAGAAATTAAACAATCTTCTGATGTTATAAAACATGCACAAATTCACATGCACTAGAAACTGCCTTTCAGCAGCAATTCTGTGGATGTTTATGCCACTACCTATTTATGCAAGTAGTACTGTGATGTTAAAACGAAGTCAATCCATTACATAAATGAATATTCGTGAAACCAGTTGCTAAAGCAACTGAGTAGTTGCTAGGAAGTCAAGCAGTGTGAAATTACACATCTTACTCCTATTCTCAGTAGCATCTGCTGGCTTTGCTAACCAGAACATGAACACATTTCTAAATTTAAAGACCCTTTCGTTATCAGGTCTTGAAATTCCAGGTTGCTAGCAAAAATAAACTCATTCTTAGCACCCTGAATTCAATTCTCTGCTGAGATCTCTGGCTAGTATAGTGGTGTTTTTCACCCAAGGCTCGCTACAGAGGATCAGAGGTTAAGATTTTTCCATCTCTTTTGCAGGATCATCAGAAGCAACAGAGGTAACAAACAAAAATTATCACATGTTCTCACCCTCCCATTCTTCCAAAGGCCAAACTTTCCCACAGTGAATCTTCATAGCCTCAAGCTATGAAGAAAAAGAAAAACCCTCTAGCCTGAAAGGGGACCTCTTCACATTCTCCAAGCAGATTTTTACTTTTAAGGTCTTTCATTTTCTCTTCTCTGCTGATTTGGATGACCTGTTACAAAGTATATAAATACGCAATGAACCTTCTTCTTAATCTCTTAGCTTTAAATTGGTTGATTCTGTCATTATTCATGATCTTAACCATAAATTCATACTTAAAAGAGAAAATGTATGTCCTTGATTGCAAAATAAAATTGCACAATTTCTCCTTGGAGTTCTAATTCAATCCTAATATAGAAAACTCCAGGAAACAGTTCCAATTGTAAAATCTCTCTGAACAGGATATATATCCTTACAGATTAAGCCTGGGTATTACACAGTAAGAATTTACTCTTCTGGCCAGGGATTTAGCTCAGTGGTTTTGCTGCCTGCTGCGCAAGCACAAGGAACCGAGTTCAATCCCTGCTACCAAAAAAAAAAAAATTTTATCCTTCTCTTTTCTGGAGTAGAGACTGAATTAAAGCAAGACCTTAATCCTTTTTTGGGGGGAGGGGGGGTACCAGGGATCGAACTCACCCTGGGCCCTTAATCCTTCATTAAAGTGTCATTCAGAAGACAATATCATCTGCATCACGTGGGAATTGTTTGTATAATCCGGGGCCAGGCATGGTGGTGCATGCCTGTAATCCTAGCACCCAGAAGTCTGAGGGAGGAGGATCGCCAGGAGTTTAAAGCCAGCCTGGATTACATAGTGAGGTCAAGGCCAGCCTGAACTAGATAACAAGACCCTGTCTCAAAATACAAACAAACAGGGCCGAGGATTTGGCTCAGTGGTTTCGCCGCCTGCTGCACAAGCAGAAAGATCTGAGTTCGATCCCCGGCATCAAAAAAACCCAAAAAACCCAAAATGAACAACAACAAGAACAAAAATCCAAGCTTTACTTGAACATACTAAATCAGAATCTAGACATTATTGATACATGTAAATCTACCTACATCATAAAATCTTAGAACTAGTGAAAAATTTAAAAGCCTATCACACACAGAGATGAACCCTGAATAATAAAATTATGACTGACAATGACTACAGTCCCTTTCATAAATTCCTTATTTCTTATAGCAACAGGTTCTAGTTAAAGAGAAGTTTCCCATAAAACTATAAACTATTTATTTTGAAACTCACCAACACTTATTACAGCAATTATTGTTGTGAATGGAAGCCACTGACAAAACCAAGTTCTTACCTAATCTAAGCTCTCCGAAGTTCCCGCACCCAATTTTCTTGCCAACCCTGAAGTTGGGTCCCACCATAAGAACCCCAGAGGACGTCGAGGAGCCAGATGGTCGGGAGCAGTGTGCACTCCTTTGTGCCATGGACTTAGTTGTGCGTTGTCTTTCATCCTTTTCCCTACTAGGATGGTCCATGATCCTACACGACAGTCTCTGGACAAGCAGCCACAGTGTATACACCTCTCTTCAATACAAAAATATGTCCAACAAACCGCAGTCAAAGAAAGATGAGGAGTTCTTTTGGGACCATATTTATGTTTCTAACGTATCTCCAGGAGATGAAAAACCATTGATTAGTTCCTTTAGGACACGTAGTATGTAGGTCTCAAGCATAGGAAGATGTTTTGTAACCTAGGCAAAAATCAAGAAAACATGCAGTTAAAAATTAAATTTTAAAAACAATTGAGAAAGTCACATCTAATAAGAATGGATCCTATCCAAAGATGAGCAAAGTAGATAGCTTCCTGAAACGGGTTTTGATTTTATATCTTCCAACAGTTTAGCCATCTGGATTAGTTATTCATGTGCTAACATAAGCTCAGTAGGCTGCAAACCACAGGAGCTCAGGGAACACACCAGCCTCTAATAAAAAATGCTTTCTTCTAGTAAGGTTCATATGTCCAAAAAGAAAAGTTTCTGTTGGGTGGGGTTTTTTTTCTAATACCGGGAATCGGACTCAGGTCCTTGTGCTTGCCAGGCAGGCGTGGTGTTGGTTGTTTTTTATCACCGGCTAATGGAAAGATATAATGAAGTTAAAGCCAAGTTTAATAAATATGGACAATTTAATTAAAAGTTCTTCATTTAATTTGTCCAGAACTGCACCAGAAATGCAGCTACTCACTGCCTGTCTCCATGATTCCCTACCATTTAGCATGCATTGGCAGCAGTCAAGCAATCCAGAAAGTTACCAACAGACACACTATTTCTGTACTAAGCAGTCCTAAACAAAACCTTTGAAAACCTCAACATTTGGTCAAGCTTTCAATGTGGACTCAGTCAAGAAACTAAAAAATCATAAACATAACATTCATCCCTACCAGAATTCACCAGAGTCCCAACAAGAAACTCCGTAAGACATTATTTTGGTGCTATAGGTGATAATCCATGTGAGTCTCTATAAAACTGTACTATACATTTTGGTTTTTGCCCATGGCTCCTGGCTCATTACTCCCTTAGCCCTAGTTAATTCCTAAGTGACTAGATGTTGGGCACTTCATGTCTCACACTGCAAAGTCTCTCTGATATTCTACCATCCTTTTTCACCTGTTCCCTTTTCTCCCCAAGGCAGGGCACAGAAACCAAAAATTTCATTTCCTCTAGGTAATACCAGCCCCCACTCCACTTTGGAGCCGCTAACTGTAAGAAAATTCTCTACCTACCTTGTCTGATAGATCATAGCCCCCTCATTTCAGAAGGGAATGCCCCATACCAGGAAGGAAGGAATGTTCCACAGAGAATCTGGATAGGCCTTGCTGGGATTCCCCACTGTCTTGTTAGCAACAGATAACAAGGGTTTTGTTTCTGGGGTACTAGTAATGGAACCCATGGGAATTCTATATCCCTAGTCCTATTATAACACAGGGTTACGATACTAAGTTCCAATCTAATAATACTGTTACAATCACTAAGTTCCTCAGGCTGACCTTGAACTTGCAATCCTCCTCCCTCAGCCTCCTGAGTGGCTGGGATCACAGATGTGTGCCACCACATACAACTAGATCATACCATTTTTGTTTAAGCACATTTCTACACAGTTATCCATGCTTCAATCATGAATCTGCAATGAAGTCTCTATAAAAATTCAAAAGGACAAGAAGGCTCAGACAGTTTCCAGAGAGCCACAGACAAAGACAGTTTTAGAGGGCGGTGTGCCCAGAGCAGACATCAAGGCCCTGTTCCCCTTCCCCATACCTCACCCAAAGCATCTCTTCATCTGTACCCTTGTAATATCCTTTATAATAAACAGGCAGAGGTGTTTTCCTGGGTCCTATGAGCCACCCAAGAGAATGAACCCAAGGAAAGGGCTGTGGGAACCTCTACTTGTAGCCAGTCAACTAAAAGCACAGGTAAAACACCCTGGAGCTTAAGAAAGGTATCTGAAGGGTAGAAGAGGGAACATTGTGGGGACTGTGCCCTCAACTTGTAGAATCGGATGCTGTCTCCAGGTAGAGAATGTCAAAACTGAACTGAATTAGGACACCTAGATAGTATCCACGACTCCAGAATTAACTTGCTTGCCAGTGGGAAGAAACCTCTATACCTACTGGATGACAGAAGTCTTATATGTTAATTACTATGGTGTGAGAGTAGAGGAAGTTTTGTTTTCAGTCTCAATATCCTTAAAAACGTACTCATCACCATTCACATACCAAACACATATTTTATTTTCATAAGTATTTTCCTCAAAGCTTTTAAGAGAATTAGAATAATCACTTCACTATCATCACCAGTATACAACAGGACAAAAATGTCCAGACTGAGCCGGGCATGGTAGCGCATGCCTGTAATCCTAGTACTCAGGAGGCTGAGGCAGGAGGACAGCCTTGAGGCCACCTTGGGTTATATAGTAAGTTCAAGATCAGCCTGAACAATATAGCGAGGCCCTCTCTTAAAAAAAGACTTCAACAATATTTCTCTGAATTTTGGAGGCAATAGCTTTACATCTATAATTTATATTTCATAAACGTCCAAAAGGCTAGGATAGGAGCGTAAGATGGAGTTACATTACTGGATTTCCTACATGAAGAGCATCACAAATTTATAACTGTCCTCATTTTTTGTCTTATTTCCAAATGTTTCCAAATGTTCCTAATATCCTGATTATCCTTGTCTTCTACATAAATCTCTCAACAACATGGAAAAGAAAAAAACAACTTAACAATGCTTTATCATTATTATTTTTTTGTACCGAGGATCGAACTCAGGACCTTGCACTTGCAAGGCAGGCGCCAGAACCACTGAGCTAAATCCCTGGCCCAACAATGCTTTATTTAGATAGGTCCATCTTAACCACTGGGAGCACATCTGTATAAAAGACAGGCAGCTCTAGTTTCTTCCCTTATGAATTGTTTGAGGACAGAAACAGGATGTGTCTTGGCCTATCTAGTCAATTTATGACCATTCAACTAACTCTTAAATTTTCCTAAATTATTACTAGTATAATAACCTCATAAGATTTGGAAGCTACGCTACTTCGTCTATTTCTCTTCATACTTTTCATATGCTTTTAATGTTTTCTTAATAGATGAAAACTGTTTTACAGGGCTTCTCATTAGCTTTTTCCATTCTACTTCAACTCATGTAACAGCGGATGGAGTAATCACACAACCTTCCTTATCCATGTAGACTTGCATGCATGTATTAGAAGAATATTTAGTACTTGTAAGGCTACAGACCTCTATAGGAAGCGAAACTTTTCATTCAGGTGGGAAAATGATGTTATAAAGTATCAAATTTCCAATCTATACATAGGCCTTACCTAATGTATAATTATGAAAGATAAATAATATTTAATATAACTTTATATAGCACCTTTTATTTTAAAAATTGAAATGGGAAACAAAGTCTTTGTAAATAGGGAGGGATGGAAGGGTTGAAGGGAGGGCAGAGGAAAGGGGAAAAAAATAAGAACCAAGAGAGTATGTAAAGGTGCATATCTCTAATGATGAATGTCATTATATTGTACACCTAAAATGTACCAATAAAAGGATAAAAAAAAAATTGAAATGGCCCTGGGATTTAGCTCAGTGGCAGGGAGCCTGTCTCGCAAGTCCAAGGTCCTGAGTTTGATTCTCGGTAGAGGAAAAAAAAAAACTGAAATAACCGAATGACTGAGTTTTGAAAATCCTATTTATCACCACCAACTGCTCAGGGTTATTTTTTCGTTCCCAACCATAAACTCTGCAGCTTGTCATCTGAGGCCGTTCAGTATAAACTCTTTATTTAAATTTATGTATTAAAAAGCTACCACATAAACACAAGGAGTATTTATGTCTTAGCTTTATACCTAGGATGGCGTCTTAATATTCTGTTTGCATTTAAGGCCTAACTCATATTTCCATCCTTTGTGAAACTTTTTATAACAAATTACTCATTAATACTTGAAACACCACTATCTATTCCAGTCATTTGTCACCTACTATGGACCAGATTATAATACTTAATTATAAGCCTTTAAAGTTAGGGATCATGTCATATCTATTATAATTTCTTTTTTTTTTGTACCAGGGATCGAACTCAGGACCTTGCCCTTGCAAGGCAGGCGCTGGAACCACTGAGCTAAATCCCCAGCTCTATTATAATTTCTTACATGTAGGTAATACTTTAAAAATATTAAGTAGCAAATATGACGGTCTTGTGCAGCTAACAGAAAACTAAATTGTGGTGATATAATCAAATATTTACATAAAGAAATAAAGCTAAAAATGCAAATTCACCTACCAAAAACCTAGCATTAATTCACCTACATTCATCAGGGTTAAGACAAGTTAGTTGGAATTTACATTTCACAAGGATATGAAATGATTTACAGTTAGGAGAAAGCAACATTCGAAAAAAGTGAAGAAACAGCCCAAACAGAATATCCAAAGTAAACACTGAGTTATATTTTAATTTTTAAAAAGGCTTCCAAGTACAGCAACTAAAGACAAACGATGTTTATATTATTTCTTGTACTATCTACTTTATATTATTTTGATATTTTTTATTCCAGTAAGAAAAATAAAGTACCAAGGACAGAAATTATATAAATGCACTATGTATGTGCTTATTTTTCTAGCAAATAAACTATCTGTCAAACACTTGAAACTTACTTATTAAACATGTTACAAACATGTTACGTGAATACATATTTGAATGTTTAGTCATACTAGCAAGTTCCTTAGGAAACTCCAATTTCAGTAGTGTCTATCTTTCAAAATCTTTTTTCAAAAAATTATGTTTGGTAGTACTGGGAATTGATTTCAGGGCCTCTGAAATGAGCTACATTCCCAACCCTCACTCTTTTTTAAAAATTCAGAGACAGGGTTTCACTAAGTTCCTAAATACCCATACCAGGCTCAAACTAGCAATCCTCCTGACTCAGCCTCCCACCATGATGGGATTACAGGCATATACCACCATGCCCAGTGGTTCTATCAATTTAAACATGTTTGTAGTAGAGGAAAGATATTTTATTCTTATTTTTAAAAACAGGATGAGCAGGGCCAGGGATTTAGCTCAGTGGTTCGGCCATCTGCCTCACAAGCGCAAGGACCCGAGTTTGATCCCTGGTACCAACAAAAAGGGAAGAGCAAGCAAAAATGACATAACCAAAAAGACAGTGGAACTAACAAACTAACCAATGTGGTTAT